AAAGGAAGAAGTTACAGGAAAGGAAGAGTAGGAGAATAAGAAGAGAAAAGGTAGTGGTTAGGTAGGAGGACAGAGTGTGAGAGCAGAGAAAGGGAGAAAAAGTCGCGAAAGCAAAAAGAGTGTTGCATGTTTGACAAGAAGATTTCAAGTAAATCGGAATAGCAGAGCTTCTTTTCATTTCGACAGTCGTTCATCATAGCACATACACCTGCTCCTTTCGATAGAGATATCCATTGATTTGAAATAACCACAATTTCTTTAGTAACAAAATTACTCCATCTCTAAAAGGTGCTAAAGAAATCTAATCATCTGAAACGCAGTTTGTCCAGCGAAGTTTTTAATGAACAAAAGATTAAATCCTTCAGCGTTGTGGTATCTTCTAAGGGTGCACGATACATTCGATTACACTAGGCATTATGAGTGTGATTGTATGCATATTTGACTAAGACTAGAGCTACCAGGGATCTATCAATGTATCGTATCAGTGTTCTTATCTTTTCAGAAAAGTCTGGTGTTAGTTTACCGACCTAGGAGGAATGAAGTGCCCAATTTGGACGAAACGCTGGATCCAACAAACAACCATTTGTGTTCTGAAAAGCACCTAAAACTACAGCACCCGGGGTAACGGATAGCGAATTAGAAAACCACTCGATCCTACCCATATAGCGGACTCTTGATTTGTTGTAGGCCCTCACTGAAGTGGTCAGAATTCCGAATTCATGGCATGAACATCATTTTCGATGAGATTGTTGTCGATTAACTTAATTATTCGTAAGAGACAATCGATTCGGTGGCCAGGAGACGAAGATGAAAACATTCCTTTGGCTTCAACTCCAAATGAATTGACTTTTCCTGCAGAGAAAACAATCTCCAATTCTGAGGAGTGGCAAGAAAAGTAATCGAAATAACAGAACAGCTAAGCTCGAAAGTGGAATATAGTCGGTGCCTTTTTAAAGAAAAAAGTGCTTAGATGTTCTCTTTGATGATCACCATGCTGCAGGTTGATTAAGAATAAAGCCGAAGGGTATAGAAGCGATGAAAAAACCAATAATTAGATATAAAATCTGTCTCATTTTTCCTTTTTTCCAATTGAGATCCTTCCCTTTGAAAGGAATGGGTCCTCGAAGATTCGCTAATCTCTTCTTGCTCCCTTCCTAATAAACATGTCAAGTAGGCTTCCCTTTATGCACTTCCAGCTTATATAGACGTTATTTTGCACTCAGAGATTCTAACATGCTCCCACCGTTGAGATTTGCATTGATGAGAACGTTCTCTATTTTTAGAACGCGAACTCATTCGAAATGACAAGGTTAAATTGCGCCAATCAATTAATAATTTTAGGATTTGGATAACAAGAATATAAACTAGCCATTACTATATTGGAGACAATGATTTATTAGTTTTTCCATTCGATGAAGAACCCATATAGAGCACCAGTTAAACCGCCGGATTTTTAAACGATTTTTAAAGTATAAAAGTGAAACACAGTAGTTCTCCAGTGGATGAACGTCAAACTAGAAACCCATATGGTGGACGGTTAACACGATTGAGTGTCATGAAAATTGAGTTCTACTACTAATCACTAGAATAGGTCGCAGCAAAGCCTACAATTCTTCTCAACGGTTTATCGTCTCATCGTGGCTAGGACGTGTTCCTGGGTGTCGGACCGCGATGTACAGCGGGGGATTCATCCCTCTGACAGAGTCTCCGAAGCTGAGAAGGAGTCTGGTTTTTCATCGGAAAGCCCAGCTAAGAGTAAACCAATACTAGGATCTATCACAGTCTTGGTATCAAAGTCGCATGGTGGCAAATCTCTCTCTGAACCATAAGGGTTGCGACTTCCCCTAGTGGTGAAGACCTGGAGCAGAGTTTGGCAAGACTGATCTCGGAATTACAGAGAACCACAATGGCTTAGCCAGGAAATCTCCTAACAATGGAGATTATGTTGGGGTACGTACAACCAGTGAGAACGGACCATTCAAGTATCAAGTATCATGTAAAGCCTACAACTTTATCACTTTCCAACATACACTTCCCGCTCCACTCAAGTCAGTGGAAATAGCCATTTATGGGCAATTTCATTACTTCAATTTTCTTATCTTTAACCTAATTCTCACAATTGTAATAACGCATACGAATATTAAACAATAAATAAGAATTTGTAAAAGTGATGATAAAAGGATGGAGCAGAAAGCATCCGGTGTTGATCAAGTCGAGAGAAACTTCACGCATTCGACTGTACTCATAGCATAGTCCTGGCCATTTGCGAGGCCTATCGATGTATCGAGGCAGCGTTTCTGTCTTGACAGCAAGTCCGATACCAATTGTTCGACGGCAATGGGATTGAACCCTTGGTGAGACCTGGGTGCGGAATCGAACCAACGACTACATTTTTATTGCAGGACACTTCATCTCTGCTGTATACATGCGTCATAGTAACGTAGCTTCAATATAATGTGATATTGTTTCGGCTGTTCCGACAGTTCGGACCCCCAACGGTTTGCCACTTCATCGAGGCTGGGAGGTGTTCCTGGGTGTTGGGCCGGGATGTACAGCGAGTGGATTCATCCTCCCAGCAATGCCTCCCAAACAGAGAAGGAGTCCGGTGTTTTAATCTGAAAGCCCAGCTAACAGTAAGCCAATACTAGCGTCCACCACTTCCTGATATCAAACTCGCCGAATGGTGGCAAATCTCCCTCTGGTCCACAAGGGCGACGACTACCTGTCGTGGTGACGACCTGTGCAAGACTTTGGTTAGGCTGAGCTCGGGACTACAAGAAACCACAATGGCTAAACCAGCCAAATTCCGAAAAAATCGAAATTATACTAGCTCCTACATAATCAGTGATGACGAGCCATACAAAATAAGTAAGTATTCAATGTTTTTCTTCAATAAGCAGATACGAGATTGAATATAGAATTTATTAGAATACAATAGCTGACGTTTCGGCGGTTTCACCTTTTTCAGAGCCTGGAAAGGTCAAATTGAGATGTGATCTACTCAGCCAAACACTTTCACAACCCTAGCAGATAAAACTTGATAAATCGATTTGTATTCGCATAAGAAACAGCATCATTCAAACACCTACCGCTTATTTGTTGTAAGTATTTAAGTTAGCTGATGGATAGCCGCCGCACAGAGTAATACATGGGCGATAACTGCGTCAGTGTCAGGTCATTGGACTAGCCTGAGGTATGGCGCCAGGTCACGCGTGACGACAAAACACTCCTCCTTGTGGTTCATTTTTGAATTTTTGGCATTGATCCAAAACGCTTCAAGAGTTTTACGCGCTGATGTTTTCGATTCCTGCATAAGGACAGTGACTCCTACCTCAAAATCTTCCCCGTTGTGTTCCTGCATCTTATGCGCGCGAAACGTCAGCTATTGTATTCTAATAAATTCTATATTAACAGCCTCGTGTCTGCTTATTGAAGAAAAACATTGAATTATCAATTAATGCCGAGGTTAACAGAAAGTCGGTCTTGGGAATTGCTACGGTAACTAAATGTTTCGGATTATTATCTGATGCTCAGCGGTTGCATCTGCCAAATAATCGTATGCATTGCAGTTGTTACAGGAATCGGGCTAGCAATCTAGATGAATCCTAGTAGCTCTTAGAGCAAGGCAGCTATCCTAAATAGATATCGACTCACTATGGTAAAGACAAAGGGTACGTCCTAGGACGGATATCTTGGGATTTTAGAAAAACTATTTTCTCCGTACATTCAAAATATCAGTGAGGAGAGAGGGTAGTAGATAACCAGGGCGTAGCTCTCAGCTCACACATGAATTCGACCTTTTTTAAAGAAGACGGTTGCAAAATAACGAAGTCAAATAGAAGTGCGGTAACCCACACGCCGTATAGAACCACCAAATCAAGTATAAGTTCTTTTTGTAAAATATTTAATATTTTTAATATTCCTTACCTTCTACAATAAAGTCTACAATCCAAATTGGCAAACTAAGCAGTTTGATGTGATCCCTTGATCGATTTCGATGTTTTATTTGATTATTGAACAACAGGATAAATGGAGTAGCAGCGTAATCCACACATCCACGGTAATTTCTTCCGAAATAATACCTTACTTAACAAACAGAGTAGGTTGACGTTCATGTAATTTAAATAGGGGCACGTGTGGCGCAGTGGTAGGAGGCTCCCTGCAACACACACGTGGAATCGATCCCCGCACCCATGGGCCACCAGACCTACCATCCGTCCGGGGTCGGCAAATTGGTATCAGGCTAATATGGGAGGACAGCAACACAGGCTCCATACATCGGTAGACCACCGCTAGTCATTGTAAAGGCCAGATATGTATTCAATCACCGAAAACGACACATTCATATTCCAATGCCGAGGTTAAGAGAAAGTTGATCCTGGGAACTATTCAATCACCTTCAACGATGCTTACTGAAGTGGAACGCATGGCGCATCCCTCAGCGATTGATCAACGTCGAGAGCTTTTTCCTTTGTCCCTTATACTTTAAATGGGAAGAAACGCATTCGACACTTTAAGAAACTAATAGTCCCACCTATATCGAATGAAGGATAAAAAAAGCAAACAAATTGAAACGTAAATGATAGTTCACGGAAAGTCATAGGATGAAAAATCAGGAATATTCTTGGAGAAAATTGAAGAAGAAGAAAAAACACATAGTCTGCATAGTCATAGTTGAGGCCGACGAGCAAAACAATCGTAGCAAGCGGTGTTCCCACATCAAGACACTCCGCAGCACACAGGGTAAATAATCCGTAGTGCTGTAGGAAGTGGAGATAATTCCTTTTATGAATGCAATGATTAAAGGGAATAAGAAAGAAGTTGGCCATTATGTTAAAAACGCCAAGAACAAATCGACAAAATATCAAAGGACGATATAATACGAAAAATCTGTTCGACATATTCCACTTATTTTCATTGTGAAAAAGAAAACCTGTAAAAGACATGAAACCAGTTGTAAATCGATCCCTAAAGCCGACTTGGTTCGGAAATGGCTCTGACTAGGTGATTTGAACAATAGCGTCGTAGTTGGCTCCCTCATGAAGTTCTGATGTTGGTGGATTTGCAGCTCGAGTCAAAGAATTCTCGCCAAAGTTCACATCCATTTCAGAGCCTTCGTTATTCTTCTTTGTTAGGAAAGCTTGCGAAATAAAAAAAGCAGATATACTGATAATACTTCTGGTAATAATAGCAACCGCAATAGTGAACTGAAAATTGAGTAGTCGTGATAATAAAATGACAATTACAGAATACGACCTAATTACACTATGATATATACACCCACAGCACCAAAACTCAGCGGCTGATGATCAGATTTAACAGAATGTCTGCTGTTCTAGTCGATGCCGCCCCTCCTGAAATCGAACAAAACCGTTGAAGGGAGCAAAATTAGCTTTATAAGATGATTTTTTCAGGGCATTAGGTGCCTATGGCTAGTGGAAAAACGTCGACGTCGAGTTGCCGCAGATTCAATAACCTTCTTGTTGAATTCGAGTGTTATCAAATCAACCGCCGGTGGCTCATTGCGAGTGAATATCCATCCGATGTCCAAAGAATGGGCAAATCGTCTCAGCCGTATGTGAAAGCCAAAGCGATCCATCCTCATGATCCCCGTGGGACTGAACTCAATCGACAACTCCGAATGAAATTGAGCTCACAAAATGAAACGTGATTGAGATTCATCAAGTTGGTTGTCGAAAGAAGAACAGGGTTCTGTGATCATTAATCGATGGACACGTGTGCTACAGTAGTTAGTGGTGTCCTGCAATACACACGCCGTACTTGGTCCGATCCTATAAAGTAGGCTTATTAATGCATTCCTGGTTCAGTAAATTGGTGCCAAGCTTTTCTAGGAGGTAAAAACATGGACGAAGTTCATAGGTAGACCTTTGCAAACAGATGTAGAGACCCAAATTTGCGTTCAATAATCTCTACTATGATACGAATGGACTCGTATGCATGGCGTGTCCCTAAGCGAGAGGTCAACGTCTGGCGCTTTTTCCATGTACTCGATTCTGTTAGCATCATATGGTGGTATTTTAGCTTACTCATCGTGGTAATGTCGGGCAGTCCCTTTTCCTCAATGCCACTAAAATCGAAGAGCAAACGATGGTTTCGAAATTTCCCTGAAAGAAACAAGAACAACGAGAACTAGAAGTATCGCGAACGATCCTCTGTTGTCGATGATGACCAGATGAAAATCATAGTGAAAACAGATCTATGCACAAACGTTCAAGATTATTTGGAAAACTTGCATAAGAGAAACAAAAGTACTGAGCCCTCAAACTAAACCCATGAACTAAAAAAAGTGGACTGAGCAATGCAATGGGAATCTTCCTTATGCCTTTTTGTGGAACAAAAGCAATCCGCTCCTTGATTTTATAGTGAACTAAAGCGAGAAACCCAGATTATGTACGATAATCAATAACCTTTACCTAGTAGTGAGAAAAAGATGAAATTCCAAGCATTTCCGGAAGTCAGATCTCCGTCTGAAGGTTAAGGTGAGTTTTCTTGCTATGCTCATTAAAGTGTGGAGAAAATCTATCAAAGAACTGTAGCAGTAGATAATTGCCAACTCTGTTGAACACCAACTGTAGTCCACAAGTTGTATAGCCTCAAAGTTTAAACAATTCGCATACAGGACTCAATTCCATCCAGAATGTTCTTCACAACTCTCAAAAAGAGATTACTGATGTACCCAGAAAACGTGGCTATTGACAAGGATCATAGAGATCCTCTTAGCTGATGTGCCTTTAGGAGGTTCCAGGACCGCTAAAGATGCATGCTACTGTACCCAACACGTCAAATCAGCGAAAAGACGTGGATTGTTCCCTCACAGGTCACTCGATGCTTTCAAATTGGTTTCTCTAGTGGAAAACTGTAAAGCACAATTCATCATTTGAAAATGCTGAAAGAAACAATGTATCGTTAATGTAGAATTAAGGAAAATTAAGCCATAGGAAAAAAAATTTGATACTGGAAGTTTCTTTAGTCAGTGTGAAATCCATTATTTTCAGGCTTTTTGGATCAATGCCAAAAACCCTACGATGAATAGCAGGGACGAATGCCCGGAGATCATACGCGACCTGATCCCGTACGTTCGCATCGATTTTTGATGTGGGATGGTGCAGTCGTCAACCACATGCGACTATAATCAGCTGTTCTGAACTTCCTCATTGGAAGTCACGAAAAAGCGGTGGGTTTTTTCGAGAAGTTGTTGATCGTGTAGTTACCAAAGAGTCTTTCGTCTTTTTGTAAGTGTTATTGAAGCGTTTGGCCTAGTAGATTGTATATCAGCATACCCCTCCAGGCTCTGAAGAAGGCGATACTGCCGAAACGTCAGCTAGCGTTGTATTGTATTGTGTTTTTATGGAAGTAAATGTATGCTGTTTAAAAACCTCGCGATTGCTGAACAAGAAAACGACACATCCATTATTTTCACTTGTAACTGTAGTAGTAGTGTGGTTATTCCACAACAAAAAACGTGATGTGTGAATTACACAAAATTCATTAGTTTAATGACAGCGATTATATGAAAATCTTATCACTTGTTCAAATTATACTTGATACTTGATATATGAATGACCCATCCTCAGTGGTTGTGCCGGCCCCAGCACAACCTCCATTGCTTGGAGAATTTTTGGTGAAACCACCGTGGTTCCCTGGAAACCTAACGTCAGCCTGGCCAAAGTCTGCCCTAGGTCTTAGCCACCACAAACAGCCGCAGCCCTTGTGGAGATTTGCCACCATGCGACTTTGATAGCACGATGGTGATGGATCCCGCTATTGGCTTACTCTTAGCTAGGCTTCCTGATAGTAACGCCGGACTCCTTCTCAGCTTAGAAGACCCTGCCAGGGGAATGAATCCTCGCTGTACATCGCCTCCCGGCACAAAGGAACACCTCCCATCCACGAGGCGGTAAAACGTTGGAAGGTGTTCAAATTATATTCAAATTATACTTCAATATCTACTTACCGTTGAAATCTGAACAGCGTTTATGAATGAATCCCTCACTATCACCAATAAAACATTATTCAACTGGGCGAATGACAATGAAGAAAACGAATACGAGAAAAAAAGAATAGGAGGGAAGGAGTAGAGAAACAGAGAACAGAAAGAATATGGCTAAAGAGAACAGAGGAAACCAGTTCATCACCGTTCTCCATAAAAGTAATCAGGGGCACCTAGCCAAATCGCAACTTTTTAAAATTCTAATCAGAACGAAATCCTATTCTCTTCATCTTCATCTACATCTACCATGGGTCCATAATTTCATAAGCTTAATAGCGTTGATACAGGGATAATGACTAAAGCCCTTAATAAACTCTTGGAATGGTCAAGTGTTCGATAATTTCATAAAGCTTCGGTCAACTAGCTACTAATCTTCCATGCAAATGAAGGTTTTCGCTGTCCGATTGAAATCTACTGATTTGTTTATAAGCAATGAGTTGTTCCACGCCTCCACAAAGGATAAAGGATAAAGCTCTCAGTGTTGATCAATTCGTGAGGGATGCGCCATGCATTCGACTTCATTGAGCATCGTTTGGAGGTGATTGAATGCATATCTAGCTTTTACAATGACTTGTACTAACCTACCGATGTATCCACCCAGTGCTACTACTCGGATAAGTCTGGTAGCTATTTGCCGACCCCGGAGGGATGGAAGGCTTGGTGGACCATGGGCGCTAGGACCGATTCCACTTGTGTGTTGCAGGGTGCCACCGATCACTGCGCTACACGGGCCCACTCCTCCATAGCCCTATTAATTTTTGAAATACAACATTGTTAAAGCTACCCTAGAAAAGAAGAACACATAATTTATTCGAAGTTGGCTTTATCTTTTTGCATAATTAACGTCAGGTATCGTGAGATATCGTTCAGTTCATTGTCAGAGTAGCAAATAAGCACGCACATTTCTTTCTGGAGAAAATATAAGATAGACAAACAGACATTCACTGAGTAAAGCTACATTAGGATTCCTAACCTCGAACCTATGAATGGATCTCGAAGGTTCCACACTTGGTGGAATATTGGAAACAGAATTCTTCAGTGAATTCGAAGCCGATAACTGAAACAGGTTCGATGACTCGACATTGTTGAAGTGGATTTCGTTTTGACCAAATATTTTTTAATGTGACAGAAGAAAAAGTTTAGAATGTGCCACAATAAACGTCTATCTGTCGATAACTTTGGAAAAACGTTAAGGAGAACCTAATCCCAATCCGCTAGATAAAATTTAGTACGTCGTGTGAATGGATTGAGCGACGAGACGTCATAAGAATAAGATATACGGACGACAACGTAGGATCGCCCGGATTACGAAGCAGTTTCACATCGATGGTTTCGACTACATACAGCTAGATATATACATGCATACATATGCACATACATATAACTGCATATACATCGTGACACAATGAATTTGGCTATTGGTGATGTGAAGTGAAGAGTGAATATATGGGAAATGTTAAACGAGTCTACATCTATTTTTATTTTATTTGACCCATATTCACGTCTGCTGTGCAGTTTCCAGCACCACTCACATTCTATTCGTTTCCTCGCATCCATTGTCCACGAAGATCCTCCAACTTTACCTACGCCTTCGGTTGCCCTTGAGGATTTTCATTTTATCTTGAATGCCTTAGAATGCTGGTCGAGCAATTCTCCCTGGATTCTTGAGATAGCCTGGGTGGAACATTCTCAATTGGTTTGGATTGGATTGCAGAGAGTGATTTTTTCCCAGACAAGTCCAGTACCAATTTCCTGATTCCGGAGAGATGATAGACTTGATTAGCCCGAAGCGGAGTCCAACTAGCATCATGCTCGTGATGACGGACGTCACTACCACTGTGCTAACCACCCCTGTATGAGATTATGAAAGTTTTTCATAGTCAGCCACAACCTGAAAGGCATAAAACGTTGAGTAGCCACAAGACGCCACTAAACTACGGAAAACTATAATCTAGATGACATATAGACGTAATAGACAATAGTAACGACAAAAATAAATAAAGAATTCTAATGTTGTCGATTGCGGCTGAGCAGAATCTAACTGGGACCTAAAGATTGTGGCGGAATGGGTTAACGAGTTTGAAAATGAGCCCTCTTATCATTCGAAAAATTAGAATTGAAGAGAAAAAAATGAACTGCAAATAGATATCTCGTTCGGCTTCGATCGGTTCCTTAGAGATACGCTATGCATCCAGGTCCAATCAACGTAGCAGAGGTGAGCAAACAGATGATGTGAAATATATAGTAACTTAAGAAGACCTACGAATATATGAAATCAATGTTTTCATCCCCTAGAAAACCAATTTTTCCTACTCCGAGGATGCGGGGACTGTTTGCACCGTAGGAGAACGAACGATTGACAATCTATATATATTGAAAGGGATCTGCAATCGCCGAGCTACAGGTGCGCCCAAGAAATAGTGCAGAAATACACGTGTCATACCAAAAATTATGGGTTCAAGATGATTTAGAAATGGACTATGTACACATTAGGACCATGTTTGACTTTCCGTACAGTTGCTTTACATTTGTTAACGAGTAAGGCGCCCTATGCTTTTGAAAAAAACGAAACACGAAGAGATACTCTTACTTTA